GTGTTCAGTCACCATCCCTCTACGACTGAACTCACGCTGCAGGAAACCAGTTCTCTGTGATTATTTAATCAATAAACAACAATGAACATTCTGACAGAAACAGAAAGCTCACAGTAAACTGCACACACCAACTTAGACAAATGTAAATAATATAAACTAAAGTAAGAATAATCAGCCCAGTGACAGAAAATGTAAATGATATTAATGAGTGTTATATTAAATGAATGGTTGTGGCCCTTGTGCTCAGAGAGTCGTAGAGCTTCATTAGACTGAGTCTGGTCACTAGTGTTTCCTCCTCGTCCTGAAACACACAGTGCAACTCACAAACACTATGAACACAAAAGAGGAGGGGCCATCTACTGCTGGATTATGACTCATACTCAAGACTTCCTGCTAGCCACGCCTTCCTGCTGCACCGCTGACAGGAAGCTCCTCGGGTGAACGTTTGACCTTTTCTCTTGTTGGTTGATTTTAAAATCATCAGGTCGGAGAAGAGATCGTCCTGAATCTGGAGGCTGCGATGCTGTTTCCTGTGGATCACTGACGCTAGGACCGTCTGACGTCCTCCACCACGACACTGAGGGACCGAGCGTGGGGCGCGATCAGAATCATTATTTTTGACGGTGTTATTTGGTGAAACTCACTTTGCCGTACCTGATCTTACCCAGCGACAGCCTCTTATTGGCTCCTCGTCTCTGCTCTTTGGGCGACGGTTCCAGCTCCTGAACTGACCGTGTCCCCGAACACTCGTTTCCCACACATTTCTACTCAACGTATTTATTTCTATGAACACGTTATTATGAAATCTAAACACATAGATACTTCAATCATTTCTCAGAGTTAATGTTAGATTCTTTTTATAAAAAATAAATAACTAAATAAAACACAAGGGAGGGCGGCACCCTAGCGCCCTCTATTGACCAACCACCACTGGTCAGAGGTCAGTCTGTTTAATCCAGAGTCACTTACCGATCCTCACATTTAGTTTCACATTTAAACGTTCAGAGACACAATACACCTGAATATAAGACAGCCTAATCTTTTCCTGTGGCGCCCCCATCAGGCCATATTTCAATTTACAAACGTGAACATCTGAGTCAACGAATGTAGAACTTTTCTGAACGTAACAAAAAAAAAACATTTCCGTAATTACTCAGGTTCTTAAATTGAATCCATCAGAGTTTCTACATTTAGCTCATGGCTGTTAATAGTTTTAAATAAATAAATCCAGATTAAACTTCCTGTAAAAGATTTAGACTGAAGCCGCTCCAGCCTCTCACGCTTCTACCACAGACTGTGAATGGTGATCGAGGCAGAGCGACAGAGAAGGAAACAGAAGTGAGCGACAACGGAACTTCATCTAGTTCAATGATCCTCTCCAATCAGACAGTTTCATTCATGATCTTTATTATTCAGAGGTTTGTAAAACAGGTCGAGAGTCTGATCCTGGATCAGTTCCACCGAACCAAGTGACGAGGAGTGACACAAGTTCCTCCTTCCCGTTTCCTGTTCCACGGTTTCTTCCCAATCCTTTGTCTTTACGATCATATAATGTCTGACTGCGATTGGTCCGTTAGCTATCAGGAAGGCACATAACTCCGCCCCTCGGAGACTCCATGTCTTGTGGGCTGGAGAAGGGCCTGGGACTCATCGGCTCGTCCCCCACCAAGAACCTCACACCACCGGCCCCACCTCCCACCCCGTTGTTCCTCTTTGTTCCGGCGTGTATCCTGCCTGAGGCCGACAGCAGCCGCACGTCTGAGTGTGCGTTGGCCACCGTGTGACGCCGCAAGCCTCCGACCTTCTCCAGGTAGGCCTCGCCCTCCTGCTCCACCAGAGGGGCCAGAGACGACGAGTCGGAGGAGCTGTGATGCTGAGTGATGGTGATCTCTGGCTGGTCACCTAGCAACGACCCAGACGACCGCAGATGACGTGACTCTGGATGAGGAGAGACAGGAAGTGAGCGAGCAGAGGAAACAGCATCAACCACCGACTGAAAGATCAAACATTCGATCAGGCACAAACAAACTTTCACACCTGATAACGATCAAACAGATTATATAGAGATCCGATAACACGCTGACATGATCACGTACTAAACTGACTGGAAACTACCGAGGGAGACATTGACTCCTGAGGACAACGTGAGAAGTAGAGACAGTTTCTATAGACTTCTACAGATACTGCCAGTGGAGTCGCCCCCTGCTGGTCATTACAAAGAAGACAGGTTTTCATTAGCTTCACTTTCCGGACCCTGAGTCGATATTTAAGTTTGAGGGTAAAACTAACCAACCCCTCAATCAATCAAATTATATTTCATGTCAGCACTTGAACCTTTGACTCCTTCTGACCCTCTCATTAAAATGGAATTGTAATTTAAATATGTGAGTGTGTGTGTGTCCCTGCTGCTTCGTCCCAGGAGTTGTGTGTTGCGTGTCCTCGACATGTGTGAGTTCATACATGCTCGTATGTTGTTATAATAAAAGAGTGTTAGCTGTGT